TTAGACACAATGTTATAAATGCATATGTGTGTATGTGTGAGTTTATTTATTTATTGTATCATTAAAGTGTAGTGTATATTAATATACAAGCGATAGAGTAGGTAATTGATTTGACGCAATATTGTATAACCCAACTAAACGCTAAATTTTACATTCCAAAACAACAATCATATTATGTCAATTGTCACCGGAATTTCTGGTAATATTTTTCTTTTTCTTTGCCTTAATCCCAACTACCTGGGGTCGGCCACCTATATCCCAAACTTCCATTTGACACGATCTCCCATATCTTCTACGCTCACATTGTCTGTCCTCATATCGCATTCAATAGCATCCCTCCATCTCTTTATTGGCCTTCCTCTACCTCTTCTTGCTTCAACATTCATTTCTATAACTGTTCTTACAGCTTCCAATTCTTCACTCCTCATAACATTAACACGGTTTACTGTGTCAACGCACTTAGTCAGATAACTAAGATGAACTTGGTATGTTTATTTATAAAACTGGTAGGGCTTATCAATTTAAGATCTATAGCGTTTGAGTCTGTTATAATTTTTTCTTAATAAACCCTAAACTTTAAAGAGCCGTGGAGCACTTAATATTAAATAAAATAAAATATTTGTTTTACAAAATTTTTTATTTATTGAACTGAATCTAATTGTGTAAAAAGAAATAGGGCTGCCATTTGAAAATATGAAGTTAATACAAGTTTTAAACATAACGGATGATGGCAGAAATTTAAAGTTTCTTGTGAAACACCTCATCAAAGTTCCAAAATGATTAAAAAAAAATTGTTTATAACAATTGTATTTTTTAAGATATTACGTGAGACAAAGTTAGCCTATCACTCTGTATTTTTAAAAAAATTATAAATGAAATACTATTAATACATTAAACACATATATATTTATTTATATAGATGAATTATAACATTTAAAAGGCCAAATATAGTTGTTAGGTCAATTTTTAAAATTGTAATGAGGATAATTCTGTAATAATTTTTCAAAAGTTGTTATTACAATTTTAGCATTTTTTCAGGATAGCAAAAACAGTATCAAATATCAATAATTCCATAATAAGGCTCGGATTACTACAAAGAAGAGCATTTGTTTTGGTTTCCCAGATTGCTGTCTCTAAATACTTGCACTACTAGTTTTTTATTAGAAAGTAGTAACTTTAATATAATAAAATATCATAAATAATCGAAAGGATTATTAATCAATAAAACAAACAGCATAACTTACTTTTGGTTTTGAACTTGGTTTAAATTTTGTCTCAAAACTTGAAAAAAATTTCGTTGAAAATTCTTTTACATTGTTATAAAAAGGCTGGCCTACATTATACCAGACATACAATATAGCCAAATCTTTGAGAATAAAATTTGTCATTTGAGTAACTACATCATCCATTTTTTTATCTCCTTTCAAAAGTTGTGATCCAAGTGTGAGGAGCTCATTCTCGATTTTAGTCTGATAATCATTTTCTTAAATATTATACAATTTAAGTAATTTTTACTATAAAAAATATTGTCATAAGACGGGAAATAAATAGTATATTTGTAGTTTAATAAATTTGACCTACCTAATACAGATCTCAATTCATTATCGGTAATTTCTATACTTTCTAAAGATTTCATAAACTTATTTTTTTCCTCTAATATACCTTCTTTCGATATTTCTTCTTTATCTGCAACTGACCTCAAAATCTACGTGTAATAACAATATAGTACATCAATAAAACTTAGTAATCTCATATTTTTTTTGCGAATACTAACGGCATGCAAATTTAGAAAATATCATAACGAGGGAAATGTTTGAAAAGTTGGACAATTTTATTTAAGATCTTTTAATTTACTATTTTCTTTATATAATAATTTTCTTATTATAATAATTATATTCACATATATATTTTAGAATAATAATGATATAAAAATTCAGAAAATATTATAACGAGGGAAATGTATGAAAAGATGAACATTTTTCTTTAAAATCTTTTAATTTACTATTTTCTTTAGTTAAGGTGTGTTATTTAAATTGACATATTTGAAATGTAAAAAACATATCTAGTTAATAAAATAGGGATATTGTTTTTATATGACACTTTTTATACATTCATCATTAATAATTCCATAATAAGGCTCGGATTACAAAAAGAAGAGCATTTGTTGTGGTTTCCCAGATTGCTGTCTCTAAATACTTGCTCTACTAGTTTTTATTACAAAGTAGTAACTTTAATATAATAAAATATCATAAATAATCGAAAGGATTATTAATCAATAAAACAAACAGCATAACTTACTTTTGGTTCTGAACTTGGTTTAAATTTCGTTTTAATACTTGTAAAAAATGTCGTTGAAAATTGTATTACATCTTTATGATAATCTTTGCCTTCTTTATACCAGTCATACAAATTAGCCAATTTTACGAGAATAAAATTTGTCATTTCATTAGCTACTTTATCCAATTTTTTTTCTTTATTCAAAAATTGTGATCCAAGTGTGAAGAGCTCATCCTCGATTTTAGTCTGATATTGATTCCCTTAAATTATTTAAAGTTTCAAGTCATTTTTACTATAAAAAATATTATCATAAGACGGGAAAGAAATAGTATTTTTTTAGTTAAATAAATTTGACCTACCTAATGCATGTCTGAATTCATTATCGGTAATCCCTATACTGTCTAAAGAATTCATAAACGTAGTTTTATCCTCTTGTATACCTTCTTTCGATATTACTTCTTTATCTGCAACTGACCTCAAAATCTACGTGAAATAATAATATAGTACATCAATTAAAATTAGTATTCACATAATATGTATTAAATATATATTATATATTTAAGAATATTAATGATATACTGAAAAAGTTGGACATCTTACATTTAACATCTTTTAATTTACTATTTTCTTTAGTTAAACATCTCTAAATTCAATTTAAAATAACTGGGAATACATATATTATTAGACATTTATCAGGTATAAAACTCAAAAATAGTTATAACTCGTACCATACAAGTTGGCTGTATTTCAAAACGATAATAACTTACGAGATAAAGTTTCAAAAGTTGAATCAGAGATATAAGCTTTAGTACGAAGCTATAAAGATATTGCTTTATGATGATGCGCATTTCTTTTTATGCCTGTCCATAAAAATTCTAAATTCACACTTGACTGATATTAAAGATCAATACACCAAAAAACCAGACTTTATTCTAATTGAACCTATCGTCATAAAAATTGGAAAACCAGTCAATTTTTGATATCTATAAAGTTATCTTAAAATTACGCTACCGTAAAAAACGGCATTTCCTAAGACAATATTGGATAAATTATTACAAAGTGTTTCAGTGCATTTTGTATGATACAAATAATTAAATGAAACTTCAATATTTAAATGAAATTTTGAAACATAAAAATTGTAAAATTAATGTTGCCACTATTGAAAAAATATAGAATGGGTCAAAAAAATTCTTATAATTCTTTTCTTTTGTTTATAATTAAGTGGTTTGGATAGACGAATTATCCTGACTTTTAAAAACTACAAATCCATTAAGTTTTTAAATAAAAGTGCAATTCTATTTTTACTGTAAGGTAATTATAATAATTTATAAGTAACTGTAATGTAGTACAATGAAACAATTTGTTCTTAAATAGCAAAACTGTGTAATGTCCCTATAACTATAGAGAAGTATATCTAATTTTTCAAAAGTATTTCCTCGAAGTTAATTTGGGGAGTATTTAGATATTTGGAACCCCTACCTTAAATATTTCAACCGCTCTAATCTAAACCAATCTACCAGAATACCAAAAATTATTCCCGGTAAGCCGATGATTAAATACCAAATATAAGACAGTGAAGCGGGATTTTATTAATTCATTATATTTTAACGTCAATTTTTAAAGAAAAATAAGCCAGAACAATTAATTTTCCAAGTCAAAATTTTTATTGATTCTTCACTTCCCCTATTTATTAGTACGTTACTTATGATATTTGTTTATAACATTATTATTGAAAATTTTTATTTTAATTTTCTCAAGAAAATTTTCCATTTAATGCTGTTCCTAATAAAGATTATCTAATGTTCTATAATATTTATTGTACCCTTAAATAAGCTATTAAGTTTATTAATCTTTTAAAAAATAATAATATTGTTGGTAAGCATCAAATTGAATATTAAACAAATATGATTAATTGTAATACAACTTATCAAAACAACTATTGTAATATTTTTATTCTAGCAGCAGAGGCAATTAATAATTACTCAAGTAATCTTTTATTTTTTTAATGTTAACTATTATTTTAGAATCATTTTAATCCGTGTGCCATGAAATTTTGAGTAGCTTATTGCGAAAAGATGTGAGGGTTACAATTTATGGATCCGTTTTGTGGCGCCAAAAATAACATAATTCAGTTAGGTTTTCATTGCTAACTGAATTATGTTATTTTTGCACAGCAGAGTCAACACGACACAGTGATAACGTGGCATAGTAGGAACAAGTAAAGATGATATATGACAGTGATTAAGATAACTATAAAAAAAAAAAACGCTTCGTAGCAAATGTGTAGATAATGTTTATTTTTAAGAAATTGGTAGATTATTTCAAAAGCAAAATGAATTCTTAATTCATTTATTATTTCTGATTAGTAGTTTTTTGATTTAAAAGTAAAATATCTGAATAAATATTTATTGTATCAAATAAATTAGTATGATATTGATATTTAATTATTCACTATTGTAATTTTTTCGGAGAATTTATAAAAAAATGTAAAGTAGTCATTACTTATTGGCAAACGTGTATAAAAATAGAAGGGATTGACATAAAACTATTTAGATAATAATTTGTTGTTAATTATGAATAAATGAAGCGAAAAAAATTTTCATCAGAGTCACGTCATACTTTTCGTGATAAATTTTTCGAGTTGAGATCAATACTGCAATTAGATTTTTTCTACCACCACTAGTTTTTGATATAATTACTAATTAGTTAAAAATTATAAGATAATACTATAAGGAAAATAGTTCTAAATAATTCAATTTTATCATCTATTTAAATACCAAGAGTTCATAAGAATGATTAAAATTTCTTTTAAAATGATTTATTACGATAAAAAAATAATTAAAAACAAAAAAAAACTTGTTTTTAAATTATTACAAGTTTTGAATATTAATATGTTAATAATAATCAGTGCAAAATATCATAATAAGAAAAATTTTGAATTTGTTACCATAAATTTTAGTTCAACTTTAAGTTTTAAATTTACATTATTAAATAGAAATTTTTATGAGAATTAAAAAAATATTAGTGTTAATATTAATATACGATCAGGAAATTGTATAATTACTATTTACTGTAAATTTATCAAAAAATCTCAATATCTTTTTTGCATTTTTATCGTTATAGATCACTTAAATAGAATTCATAGAAATAATTTCTAAGTAACATTTGGTATTTAAAAAGATTCTACAATTAAAATATTCAGAACTTAATTAATTTTAATGATTTACTTTAACTAAATAAACTAACAAAAATGTACTCAATTGAGTATATTAGTTGTGATAATTTGATGTATCGTAAAAAAAGTTGGTCAAGTGAGAGCTGAATTAAAGTTATTGAATCAAAATGAAATAAAAATCAAATGATTCAAAATTTTTTTTCTAACTCAAAAAGATTTAATAAAAAATTCAACACAAATGCATTGCCAAAGGCGAGGAAGACACAAATGTTACCACTTCATCAACCGTACGTCGCATTCATAGATTAATAAAAATAATAATTTAAGCTAGTTCAAATTATGGAATTATTATTCTCTAAAAGGAGCAAAAAATTTAAATATGTTAACCTTTCTATTCTATATCAATTAGATTTATAGAATATTTATGAAAATCAGTGCACTCCCTTTGTAAGGTACTTTAAAATAAAATACAAAACCAAGAGTTTTAACACAAAAATAGCATATTTTCAAATACGATAACCATTTTTACCATATATAAACCGTAAAGTTCGAATTTTTTTTTTCATACTAAAGTATATTGCATAATAAATAATTTAATATATGAATAAATGTGTCAGTATTTCCGGAACATTAAGTTTAAAAAGATCTAGTTACCATTCGCGAGTTTATGGTTTTAACATCCCCTGTATAAAGGGAAATGGGACCATTCAAAAAAACTATGTCAGCTGAAAGCTGTATATAAAAAGTATTTATAAAAAAATATTACATTCATCCATATATTTTCTATATGTAATCTCATTATAAAGTTAAAAATATAAACATATAGTTTAAAGAAATCGGTACAGTGAGAATTTAGAAAAAGGGGTAACAGACACACATAGTAAAATAATAACTTCTCAGCTTTGTCTCGAAGCAAAAAAGACATTACATGAAGTGTTTCATAAATGTATAAATAAATTTCACATATGTATTTAATCCATAATTTATTTTTTTTTTTTAATACTTTTTTTGTTAATATTTGCTATTTATGATTTCCAAAATATTGATGCAAAGTTAATAAATTACCAAAAACATGAATAATTTTTATATTAAATTTATACGAAAATAATTTAAACATTAAATTTATTGTCAATTTAGCAACAAGTTTTTAGACAAATAATACTTACTAAAAATGTTCCGACTAAATTTAATATGATAAATTTCATTTTTTTACTGATAATAACCTAAAATAAAAAATTTATTGTTATCTAACATTCATCAAAACTAACAATAGGTCCACTTAAATCAAGTGATTTACGTACGCAATGTATAAGGGCATTGAAAATGAGGGGTGACATATAGATATAATTGATCCATCATAAAATTAGTCGATTGATAATTTCTAGAGGCACCCAATTAAAATTTGTACATTTACACAAGGGTGATGTCATCATGATTAAAAACAATGTTTGTATGATATTATAGTCATATTATTATACAGACATCAATAATTTTAATTCTAAAACTTAATCACCCAATTTGAACCTGAGCTTCTTATTCACTGTTTTTGGAAATAGCAATAATTACATAATACTAATTAGGGTGTCAACTTTAGTTTTTCAAAAGGCAACATACATATTTTACTAGTTCAAATATTAAAAAATGAGTCAGCTAAGAAAATGACTGGTCGATAACAATTTTGGTACAAGTTGTTCGGGAATTATCACTTTTTTATACTTAAGTGGGAAAAGAAACGTAGCAAAGTAAAACATAAATATTAAAATAATATATAATAAACCTCGCCGGAAGACATAATCTAAAAATATTCATAACATTCAAAATACTATTTTAAAAATTGTTATCAACCGGTCATTTTCTTAATTATCCTTTTCTAATATTAAAACTAGTAAAATATGTATGTTGCAGTTTAAAAAAAAAGTGAAGACCCTTATAAGAGATATGCGATAATAATATTTAGAGATAATAAAAGATTATAAGGATAATCCAGAAACATATTTAACCACTTATAATTTGAGAAATAAATAGTACTTACTATATTAACAAAAAATATCTTCTTATATTATTATTATTTTGGAAGAAAGCTAGTGATCATCAATAAATAATTCACCTTCCTTATAATATAATTCATATCATAGGAATTAGCGTTCAGTTTATACTTAATACGATTACTCTGAATATTTTTTCTCACTTTATTTATGTAATTTTAATTCATCATGAATTTAATGTTAATTACTTAATTTATATTATACTTATAGAAAATTATAATAATAACTTACAGAAAGCTTGGTTTGTTAAAAAAAATACAAGT